AGCTTTATAGACCGGTATTTCCACTAAAACAGCAGGGACAGAATTGCTCTGGTGTTAAAAGACTGAAATATAATGGATGGAAAGATTTTTATCCCTTTCGTGCGATTGGTAGCACCCGCCAAATGCCTTATGGATTACGGTGGGAAACACGCATCGAGGGGCTGAGGGATTCCAAACCAAACCCAGAAAACTCTCTACAAAAAAAAAAAAAAAAAGACCCCAAACGCACTGTCTTTCCACGGTTGTGTTCGACACCGAAAAGGAGTGCGGACCGCGTTCCTGGCTTTCCCAGTGCGAGGATGAACTGTGCGGTGCTCTTAACGCACTTCAGTGGAAAAACACCCTCCGTGCTCCAGCAGGGAGAAGTCCAATGCCGCTTTGCTGTTCTTCCGCGAGAGACGCAAAGAACGCGGGCGCTGCCGAGCGCGGGGTGACTTCGAGACGTGACCCTTCTTTGAAAAATCCCCGCTGGTGGTCATTGACCGTAAGCACGAGAGAAGTGCGCAGCCCCCGGGGTTGTTTTGTTTTTGTTTTCTTTTCTTTTGTCTTGTTTAACGACTTTTAATTTTTTTTTTTTTAATTATTATTTTTAAGAAGTAAATATGAGTTGAGCCGCTGTGAAACTGAACTGGGGATGAATAGAGGGGGGAAACGTGATCTGGTAAAACACAACGATAACCTCGCTGCCTGAGCAGCCTTGGGGTCGGTGTGACCCGCATCTCCGTGCGCTCCCCCCTGATTGCACGGGGGCGGGGCGGAGCTGAGGTTCTCTTTCTGCGACCCCGGGGACGGCAGAGGGTACCCGGGTGCTCTCTGGGGACGGGTCACCTTTTGCTTTCCCCTCTCTCCTGCCCTGCGTGTGCTCCCCTGCTCCTCCCTTCGTGTCCCGCACTCACCCCGCAAAATCCCGCAGCGCCCCGTGAGTGCGCGAATGGGGCATTCCCATGCAGCGCCTACGGGATTCGTGCTCAGAGACTGGCGGACGGTATTCGGCAATACGCAGCGCACACATCACAGATGTATGTGCGCGCACCCCTGCGTTACGTGGGTGCGCGTCAATCCCCGGCGCAGCGGACCGCACAGGAGCCGAGCAGACCTCGGTGGGCAGCGGCACCCCAGCCGCACACTCGGCCCCCGGCCGTTCCCCGAGTTCCCCGGAGCAGGTGGCCGTTCCCTCACCGAGCCTCCCGTGGGTGCTCAGCCGGGGGCGGCTCCTCCCCGGCCCGGGCTTCTCCCGTCGGCGCCGCCGCTCTCGGTGCCCGCCGCCCCCGGCCTCGCAGCGCGGCTCCCGGCGGAGATCAAACCCGGCGCTTTCTGGCACGCCGGCTCGCAGACGCGCCGCAGTCACCGAGCGTTCCTCCTTCCCTATAAAATGCAGGAATTCCGGGCTTTGACAAGGCGATGTGACAACATGAAATGCAGGCTCCGAGCGCCCGTGGCTCTCTGTAATGAACGCTTGGCCGGAGCGAGTCAGAGAGCCCATTCCTAACTGTTTATGTCAACAGATCCATAGCTCGTGAATTAAGGTCCCGGGAGAGCCGAGCTGTGCCCGGCTGCTCTGAGCCGCCGTTCAGCAAGTCGGGATTTTAAGGATCGGGATAATTTATCGCGTTGTTTTTAATGTTTATTATTTATTGCTCTAATTATTTTTCACTTTCTATTGGAAATTTAAAATATATAGATGTACCTGGAACAGATGCCAACTCCTTTCAGTCTCACTCAACTTCTAATCATCGCATCTGCTTTGTGTCAGAAAATACTTTGGGAACAATTTAACTTTGCATTAAAATAACTAATTAAAGCCACACCTCCCCAGCCTCTTGCGAAAGTGGAGGAGGAATTTCAGTAAGTGCATCGCGTTTAATGGTAGCATTCTGATTTCCCTGCCTCGCTGTAATTTATTCAGTTACAGATCTGCCTGCGGGGCAGCTCCCATTAGGCCGATGATGAAGTCTCATGAGTAAAGCTTGACACCTCCCTCCTAATAAAATATAATACTCAATTAACTCGGCCTTTCTGAAGGCTTTAATTGGAACAAGTTAATAATGGGCGCAGGGTGAACTGTCATGCCATCCGCGAGCTCGGGGAAGGTGTCACGGATCCGTCCTGCCTTTCCCATAGCAAAGGTTGTAACCGAGTTCTGGAAGCTTTTCCTTCAACACCCTTGTGTTCTGCAATAAATCTGTATCCATTTAAGGATCTATCATAACACGCACAAAGCTCCTGCGCTCAAAGAGTTTCCAGCGAAAAGGTTTAGCTGTAATCCCTGACACAGCTGATTTATACCGAAGGTTAAAAAATACCGCTGGTTTATTTATAACCGGTGGAGAAAAAGCTCGGGACGATAGCAAGAGGAGGCAGAGGGGAGAGGAGGCTTCTCCCTGCCCCGGAGTGAGGGGATAATGCCTCGGAAACAGGGAACCCAAGAAAGGAGAGTTTGTCTCTGGTTTCACGCGGCAGTAAACTCTGGTTTGCAATGTCTGCGTGGAGATTGGGTTCTCCCAGCTTTGCTCCATCCAGTTGCAAAGCAGGAAGGGTTTGTGTCCGAATAGGGCTGAGACGGGAAGGATCGCCCCGAGAGCCGCAGCGCCGCTCGGAAGGAGCTGCCCCGTTCCTCCCGTCCCCGTGCCGTGCCGCAGCCCCGTCCCGCACGGAGCGAGGAGGGCTCGGGCACGGAGCGGGGCTCCGAAGCAGGGAGCGGGACACGGCCGGGATGGGCGCCGGGCACGGGGATGCTTTCCTCCATGCATCCCTATTTCATCAACCCGGCTGTTCCAATAGAGGCGAACGCAGCTTTCTAGCCAGCTGGGATCGCGGAGGTCACTCCTAATCCGAATAATCCTACAGTAAGGGCAGACACGAGACTTTGGTGTGCCGTAGTAAAGTAGCCTCTTGGAGATCCCTCTCGTCGGAGCAAACTCCTGTTCCCTTTGATAGAGAGGGCTGAGGTCTGGCACCTGCTCTCCGAGGCTGCCCCAAAACCAATGGACAGACTGATAGCACACAGGAGCCCTGCAACAGCCCTATGGCAGAGTACTGCAGGGTCCCTGCCAGGTCTGACCTGTACCAAGGAACCCTCAACCGTGACCCCCAGCTATGGCTGGGGCACAAACAAGCCACACACCAAAGATGGATTTGAGGTGAGGGGAGAGGCCTGAGCAACAGAGAGGTGCGTGAGCTGAGAGAAGTGAGGGAAACATCCCCAGAATATGATGCTGTAAAGAACAGAGGCGCCTAAAAGGGGTTGTTAAAAACAAGGAAACCTCATAAAAGGTTTGGCTCCCGACTTTGAATTGTTGACTTGCAATTCACCTTCATGTGCAGCAAATTTGGCTTCACTTCAGATTCAGAAGGGGAAATAATCACAAAGGCAACCTAAACATTCCTTTGAACTTGACCCAGCAGTGCAAAACACACACGGAGAGACGTTACCTTTTAAAGAACTCCAAACACTCACAGACCCACACGTAATTAAACATGTTTTTTCTTTTTTAATTTAATTCGAAATAAGAGATAAGAAATAATAAATCTTCAATAAAATATATAAAATTGTACAAGGTATCCCTTTCAAAGGGACTTTCCTATAATGAAAGGTTAGGGGTAAAGGGAAGGGACATCGGAAGTTCATCTACAGTGGGTCCCGGGCAGTGAGAGTTGCCTGGGTCAAAACAAACCAAAAACGGTAAAACTTTGTGACTTTTAAAAAATTTTTAGGCTTTTTTTTTTTTTTTTTTTTTTTTCCTCCTATTTTTTGGGGAGGGGAAGTGGGGCAGAGGAGGGTTTCTTATCAACATGCTAAGAAAATAAATCCAGGAGAAGCTCTGCCTTCAGTGCTCCACAACCTTCGGAGTAATTTTCTCACAAAGTTTAGCAAGAGTAATACACATAATACAATAGTTACAAGGAGAAGACCGGGGACGATGACACTGCCAGCACTTGGGAAGCTCCCATGGGGACAGAGAGCTTACACAGTCTCTTGGCACCCCACCGTCCCACAGGTAGCATTGTCTGGTTTTGATACCTGGATCTCTCTTTAGAAGGGCTTGAAGCATGAGTCACTTCAGTTGGCATCCTTGGCAAGGGGAGGAGAGGAAGACTCGAGGGATTCTTCTATTTAATGCAGACTGTTGCAGATACTAATAAAAAACCCCAAACATCTCCGCAGAAGAGTTCGACAACCCTTGCTCACCACCACTGTGGAAACAACCCACGTCTTCTTTCCCCAGAAACTTCCCTCCCTCCTGGTTTTCAAGAAGCATTGCAGAGCCAAGATTACCTGGCTGTAAGAAAAAAACAAAACTCTACACGCGCCAATCGGAAGAGATAAAGAGCAGCCTGCCTTGCACCTCATCTCTCCTCACAGTGCTTTAAAAACGCTGAAGCGATTTACACACATAAAGGCATTACAAGAGCCACGGGTGGGTAAAGCCCTTGCTTTACTCTATGCATTTAGGGGCCCTCGTCTTGTTGCAAAAGGTCTGTGGAGGTCTGGGATGTGAAAAGCTTTCCTTACCCTTAGAAATGCAGGAACTTGCTGGCTCTGAACTTCACTCGGACTCTACTGGGTCTAGTTTCTATTTACATTGTGTCTGTATCTAAGGGCTCTGCTTTCTTTAAACGACGGCAACAAAAGAAAACAATGCCCCCCAACCCACCTTGATTATAGCTTTTTATTTCCCTCCCCTTGCCCCTATATTAAATGATGACACTTGAGAGTGTGGATTTAGGGTACATACCCCTTTTACTTTAAAAACAGCTTGGGCCCCATCAGGAAGCTGTTGGGAAATCTCTGCCTCCGTAAGGCAAGCTTGTTTTTTTTCACCCGTTCTTTCTTACCCTAATTTTACATGCACTGTATAAAAACCCTACAATTGCTCAATTTTTTTTTTTTAATCGTTTTTACTTTTTTTTTTTTTTTTTTAAACACTTTGAGGATCAGACTGTGAGCGCTCAGAGCGCTCTCAGAAGACACCCAGCCTGTTGCATACAGGATGCCTTGCTTTGCTAACACGAACTCGGGATGGCAGATAGAAGCGTGCAGAAAGAACGGCCAGCACCGGTTGGGTACTGCATTCTTAGGGCTGGATGAGATCCACCAGGAAGTCTTTCTCGCTGTCACTGTGCCTTTCTGATCTTCTTAGGATAAGTGGTACATGCTATATCCGACAGGAGTAGCATAGAGTCCAACGGGAGGGATAGGAAGCACAGGTCTGTGAAAAGGGTAGGATGTTCCATACAGTGAGGCGGCCTGGATGGGGGAGTTGATGGGAAAAGGGAGGCTGAACCCCGACGGCAACATGGGCTTCGCTGCCATTTTGAGCTTCTCTAGCTCAGCCTCCTGCAGTCTCTTGGCCTTGGCCCTCCGATTTTGGAACCAGATTTTGACCTGGGTCTCTGTGAGGTTGAGGGAGCTGGAGAATTCGGCTCGCTCGGCGATGGACAGGTACTGCTTCTGGCGGAACTTGCGCTCCAGGGCCAGCAGCTGGGAAGTGGTGAATGGGGTGCGGGGCTTCCGATTCGTCTTGTGCTTCCTCAGGGTGCAGGCTGTAGGGCTCAGGTGTCCTGCAAGGAAGGGAAAGGCCAGTTATCACAAAGTGGGGAGACCTGGGTGCTCTGCAGAGACATGTGGTGCTTTAGATGGCTCAGGGAGGACCTGTGCCAGAGGATGTCCCGTCAAGTGACACCCTCAGAACAGGGGATCTTTCACAAATGTCACTGCAAATCTCTTGCTAGACCAACTTATATTGCAGTACTTCATCAGATGTCCTGAAATTTTGGCTCCTTGATTCTAAGGAGTTAGCTTGTAGGCAAACAGAGAGTGAAGGATTTAGAGATACGCAGCAGATCACCTTAGGATCGTAGGGGTCTGCACAAAATAGCTGTCTTAGTAGCAGCAGAACTGCAGGACTAACCCCAACACAGCACAGGACAAACGTATAGGTGAAAGCAGGAGATTCACAAAAGCACCATGGTGTGAGAGAAGCCACGCCAGGACTTTGCCAACAGCAACACATCAGCCCTGCCAGAGATCATCCTGACAGCTGAAGAACAGAGTCTGATAATTGTTGTGTTTTGGATAACAGAACACTATTATTCCAATTTCTTCTCCCATTGAAATCAAGAGCAGATTTCCCTTCTACTTAACTTTTTTTTTCCTCTCAAGACATATTTTCTGTTTTCTTCCGAAAATATCATACAAGAAGAAAATGCCACACTTCTCATTCAGTGCTTGTTCTTGTGACATTTGCCTTGTTTGTCTCATACAACAGCAGCATCTGTAGCCAATACAAATCAGGAAATCTGGTACATTTTGTGCTTTCCTTATAAACCCAGACAGGCTGGGCACTTGTTTCTGAGTTGGCACATTGCTGAGCTGTCTTTCAATTCATTTTACATTTCACTCATAATTCTAAAAAATGAGGAAGACGTGCAACCCTGGTGTGAAGAGCTCTGCAATTTGACTGTGTTCCAAATCACTCCCAGGACCCACAAGAAACCACAAACTCCAGTTTAATACAGAAAATGATGCACTGTCAGCACTTGAGCACCAGCAAAAATTTCATATGTGCTGTAGTGCCTAGTTCACACAATTTCCACTGCTTTCACTGCGTATTTTTTGAACCGTTTTCATTTTCCGTTTTCATTTCAGCATCAGACCACGATGCTGTTTCAGCGCATAACTTGCAAGCAAAAAAAAACAAAACCAAAAAAACATCTCACGAGGAGAGTGTTCAGAACGGGGAGAGAGAAAACAGATTTAAATATATATATATGTGTGTAGCGAAATGCATCTCCCTACACTTCTTCAGGCTACTGAACACAGTAAATAAATCCTTCTTGGAAAACAAGTTGTCAAACGCAGTCTTAAGATCGCACGGGATCGTTTTAATAATGAAGTTGCAAACCGGCGCGCTGCTGAAACTTCCCTAATTACTGGTTACCCCTCCGTTCCACTCTCCTTTTTTTTTAGAACGAGACCTATTCTTTATCTCGAAGATCTGCGAAGACTCGGCAGCCGAAGCTCTGTCCGTAGGGATGAGGTTTACAGGGACGGCCGCTGCCGCAGCGCCTTTCCCGGCTGTCAGCTTACCCGGCCCGTCCCGACTGGGACTGCGCTCGGTAAAGTGCCGTAAGGCGCTTTTAAACTAAATCCCAGAGAAATATTTCTCTCGGAATACACCCAAAAGCTCACAGCTTTTTCTCCTACCGCCCCGCAGATGACTGCCAAACTCCGATAAGAAGCCCGGAGGTCGCCTCGGCGGAGCCTGCATTGATGATTACCCCGTGCCCGTCCTACAGCGCTCGCTGCAGTCGTTTGTTTCGCTTTGCATTTATTTATTTCTCTCCCGTTTATTTCCGTTTTCTGGCCAACGGCGGACAAAAACCATCACCTGCTTCCCTCTACGTTCTGCTCATAATCTAACATTGCAGCTCTTCCCCTCGCAGCGTTATTAGTCCCGACGTCAAAGCGCTCCGCGGACAGACGGGATGGGAGCACCGCTCATGTCCCACATTGTCCCGGCAGCTCCGACGGGGCCGAGAGCCGGGGCGGGGAATGAGGAAGAGGACAGAGGCTGAAGGACCTTCCCGAGCTGCCGGTCCCATCCCCGGTCGTTGTTGCCTCAAATTCCCCCTTGAAATCACTGGCCTTCAACACTCTACACGCTGAAGTTCTTTACAAGGGTATTTTCCAGATCCCAGGAACTGCCGATTTGAATAGAGACAGAAGTGGAATTTCGAAGTAAAAGAACCCAATAAACAATAACTGAGAGATGAGGCCTTGTTAGAGGAAGGGAGTTGAGCCGAGGCACCTGCGTCTTTTCACGCGTTTCCAGAGGACTTGAGAGTGCGTGAAAATCACAATCCCGAGCTACAGAGCACTGACAGGGGCGGCCTGTTCTCCTCCTATCCATCTCAGCAAGTTAGAAATCAAATTAATTCAGGGTAATGGCAAAGCAAACGAAGTGGCCGAAAGCCAAATCAAAGCGACTCTCTCCAAAATAGAGGAGTTGTAATGACACTAAACTTCCTTGCAATGATAGGTTATGGTAGCAAATTCTCCACGACCGTCCAGCTGTTCAGTATGGTGAAATCATTCACTTTAAGAAAGCAGAGAATTCGGTTTACATCGCGCGAGTCAGTACAGCCCGATCTGCTAATACAGGTGTCTGCCCACAAAGGCTCACAGTAATAGGAAGGCAGAGCCCAGCACTGCCGGGATACGTTTTTCACCCGTTCGTGATGTAGTTTTGGCGGGGAGATGATTGCTATTATTTTTTAAAGCAATTAAAATTTAAGAGAAAAGTGGACGGAGGGGATCTCACTGAAATAGTTCAGCAGAGGAGCGCGGATCGGGCAGCAAAGAGGTTTAAAAAGTGACCTGTCAGCTTGGGACTGGGAGTCCCCGAGGCGATGGGGAGAGCTTGGATGGGGGGCGTAGGGGGTGGGAACGAGATCAGGCCCAGCCTGGGACTTTGACAGCCTGCATGCAGAGAGACAGAGGGAAGAACACCGGTGGGACAGAGCGCACAGACAGTGCACAAAGTTAGAAAGAGCAAGGAGATCGCTTTGTGAGAAGGAGAAATTTCACTTCTCAGTGTAACGCGTTAACATAAAGGTATAAACTGGCAGATTGTGAGCTGTACGTAGGGAAAGGGAGCTCCTGATCACTGTACAGCTTAAAAGCACTGGATATTTCTATACCCAGGTAAAGGTATAAACACATAACTTCTATGTAAACACACAGGTGACATGCAAAAACTAAACAGGCATAACCGTGAACACACGCACACATTTGAGTCTATGTATAAACGCAGCTATCCAACGTGCCCTGAGCATCCCGTGCCCGGGGCTCGCAGTGTCACCCGGGCTCGAAGCGGTGCCGCCTCTCTGCTCTCCCCGGCCCCGCTGCCCTCCGCCGCCCCGCCGCTCCCCGGCCACTCACTTGGCGGAGGGGAATATCTCCCGGCCTCTTGGATCCAGGACGTGCCGTCCTCCGAGTTCTCCGATTTGACCGAAGCAGTGTCGAAGGTTTTTGTAAGAGCCCCGGGAGGGCTGTGCGCGTCTCGGGAGCCGTGGCCCGGCAGCAGCAGGTTCCTGGAGGTACCCACGGTCGCCCCGTCGGCGCTGCCCCCCGCCGCGGCCAGCGGCAGCTCTTTGGGAGGTTTCTTGTCGGACATGAGGGCTTCCACGCTGAACGGCAAGCTGGACACTTTGACTTTGTGGTGCTCCTCGGCGCCGGCCGCCGGGCCCTCCTCGTCGGAGGAGAAAACCTCCTTCGCTTTGGAAGGAGAAGCCATCGCGAGTGCGGAGCGTGGCTGGAGCGGGGCCGCCCGGGGAGCTGCGCTGCGCCTCTGCCCGGCCCTGCGCGGGGACTGCGCGAGTGAGGCGCTGCGGAGCCGCCCCCCTCTTTTCCCCCCTCTGGGGGCTCCCCGGCTCTTTCCTCCTTTGGGAAGTGGAGTAAACGCCCCACAGGCCAATCAGAGCCGCCGCTGCCGCCTGACGTCGCGGGGTGACTCATGTCATTGGCTCGGGAGCGGGAGGGAGGGCACACACTCTTTTTTTTTCCCCCTGTCTTTCTTTCTTTTTTTTTTTTTTTCTTTCTTTCTATTTTTTTCGAGGCTTATTTTGTTTGGGGTGTTCCCCCCCCCCTCCCCCCTCCCTTCCCCCCCGTCCCCTCCGAAATGAATTACGAGTTAATGACACGGGCAGCGAGCGGAGCCGTGCCATTAAGGAGCCGTCCGGGGCTATAATCATACCGAAGCAAGAAAAGAGCCGCCGGGGTAATTAAGGCTGATGATTAGGCGAAGAGGAAACTTTAGAAGATCGCAGCGCTGCCTCCTCTCGCCGCCGGCCCGGCCCCTCCCGGTCCCCTCTGTCCGTCGGCCGCGCCACCACCCCCCCTCCAGCCCCGTCGGGTCTCGCCGCCCTCCCGGAGCGGGGAATTTCTCCGGGGTCACACTGGGAGGGGGGGGGGAGGAAAGAAGGGGGGCGGTGGGATGCTGAACTCAGTGCAAGACCCCCGCGGAGAGCCCATTCGGAGCATTTTTCATCCGAAAAAGGGATTTCAATTGCGTTTCTTCGGCAGCGGGACCCGAGTTGGGCAGAAAACACTCTGCGGAGGTTAGATCTGTAATTATTATTATTATTATTTTTTTCCAGCGTCAATTCCACACGTGATGAATAGAACTTTAATAAATTAGGGGCACGCAGTCCTTAATTAAGAGGTATATCAAACTAGCACTACGAAAGCGTTTCTCTCACTTTTTGACTTCCTACCAGCGGTATGACTAAAGAGCATCCTTTTAAAAGCGTTTCTAATTACCACGTGGATAAAAGCAAATGCATATTATTCTTTTCGTAATTATTTTAATCTTACACCGGGCGTTATTTCATCCTGTGCCTGCAACTTTCTCTGTTGTTCCTTTTTTTTTTTTTTTTTTTTTAAATCTTTTTGTTTTTTTAAACGTCCAGGAAACGCAGTTTGGGAGCTGCTTTTGTGTTAGTTCTAACCAAAGCTCTAAAACAAAACAAAACAAAACACCAAGGCAAAACAAAAGCATAACAAAGTGTGCTGGGGAGGTGGCAATGCATCTGCCCATGTGTGGGGCTGTGAGCTCTGCTCCGCGCTCTGTCCCCAACTCCAGGGGAGATTTGGACAGGACTACTGATTCGTTTTGTGTGGGCTGTAGATTTGCACCTCCTGCGCCGTTTTGGTTTATGTCCTGCATAAACCGACCAGGATTCCACCACCAAACATCGTTCTCGCTTGAGATTCCCAATCTTTCTGCCGGTCCGGGACGTCCCACCCCCCCTAACAAAAATCACTACGTTCCGCTCTCTCTCTGTAGGGCGTTTATGACTTTTCCCTGAGGGCCGTTAGGGAGCTGATTTTGGGGAGGAGAACTGGGCCGGTTGGAGGAGAACTGGGCCGGTTGGGATTTTCTTCGGCCCATCCTCCTCCACCCAGGCCAGGCCAGGGAGCACCCCGAAGGAGGGAATGTAATGAGTGTGCTGTGCTGGGCCCAGGGATCCTCTCGACCCCTCGCAGTTCCCTTCATCCAGCTCTGACAGCAGCTCGCCAGGTGCCACTCACAACCAACTGGGACCGGGTCACGCGATTGCGGCATGGGAAGGAGTGTGGGGGTTGTGTACAAGGAGCCGTGTTACAAAACCCCACTCTTCAGTGCGACTAATAGTAGGGTTTGCACACTCGTCATTTATTGCTAACAGTGTTACTGCAGACCTCGATGGGACAAGGATTAAAGCCAGGGGTGATATGTAAAGAGGGGTGATGCCTTTCACTACACCAGCTAACCAGACTGAGTCAGGTTATATTTCAGGCAACAGAGCTCCGATTTGGGCTTTTCTCTGAGATTGAAAGTAACAGTTGCTTCCACAAGCTGATTCCTCATTCACTTCTCTTCCTAACCCCATTTTCTCTCATCTCCTTCCCCAGAAAGTCTCTCTTTGCTGGGAGATACTCACAGAGAGATGTGGGACTGCAGTGCCCCTGCTCCGCGAGTTCTCTTGCTGCGGAGTGAGTCTGTCCCTCTTTTCTCCTTCAGCACCCCCCACCCCCCACCCCCCTTTCCCTTCTCCATGCTTCCTGCACCGTGACAAGTAAATGAGAATTGATAGACACGCAGGAACAATGCGTGTGTGTCAAGAACAATGCACCATCCTCAGAAAGCCATTGTGGGACTGCTGAAAATGCTACTGATAATTATACCGAGCTCCCAAAGTCAATGCCTGCTGGAAGGGTGCCTGGGGAAGGAGAGCTCGCAGGAGGGCAGGTCACAGTGACACGGAGCCAGGGCTCACATCCCATGGGTGCAGCTCCCGTGCTGTATGGCTGTGGCCTGGATGTTGTCCCCATGGGGTTGGAGAGCCCTCTCTGTGCTATCATCTTTCAAAAAGGTGGAAGAAGGAGGGGAGCAGAGAGGCAAACTTCTCCCGGAATCGAGAAGCACGGGACAGGTCAGCTCTGCCAGCCTGGTTTGGTCGGCCTTGGGGTGCCACAGGGACGTTTGGTATTTCACAGCATGGCAGTTCTTGCTTATGGTGTTTGCCCTCTTTCAGCATCAACCCGTACCGAGCTTGGAAACTTTTCCGTTTAAAGTCTTAACTTGGGAGTTTCTCACCTCCCTCACCCCTCCCCTCCTTCATCCTCCTGTCAGTTAAACACAGGAGAAAAAAACCACACGCGGCACCGAATGCCTGGACGGCAGCCTCGAAAGCACAGAGGTTTGATGACACTTCTTGGAATTAAGTCTTTCCCCCGAACCAGGACTTCAGAGCAACCTCAGATCAGCAGGGATTTCACCCGTGCCGGGGAACCAAGGTTCCGAGGGCTGTCTCGTGAGTGTCCACAGCGCTCCTGGGGAGGGCGGTCCCGGACACGGCCGTCGGGGCTCCATGGGTGCTGTCTCGGGAGAAGTCACCCTGTCCCAACTCCCTCGTGTCCCCCATCTCCCGGCAGCCCTCAGAAGCTGTCCCAGCGAGTACGGATCCCAAGGATGCCCCGAGAGCCCCCCGCGCCCCCAGCCTCCAGCCTCTGTCCGCCGAAGCCGCTTCTGCGCTCCCCGTCCTGGGGCTCTCAGCTGGAGAGGGACGGGGAGGGAGGGAGGGCAGGGGGAGGAGAGACGTTGCAGACAAACTGAGGCTGTTTTGCAGGCGCCAGGAGCGGGGAGATGAAAGGGAAGCTCCTGGGGGAAGTGGCTGTGCAGTTTGACCGGCTCCAGCGGCAGCAACAGCGACGGCCCGTCCCGGGCAGCTCCGCCTCCCGCCTCCCCCTCTGCCCCCGGGCTCCAGGCTGCCCCCGGCCCACCTCCTCTTGCCTCTCCCAGCCCGGGGGCGGAGGGAGGCGACGGGCAGGCACCGCCGCAGCATCCTCGCTGGTGTCTCCGAAGGGCCGTGAGCAGCATCCCCACAACGAAGTGCCACCGCCTAGTTAGTCCGTGAGAGACGGTGTCGGCAGTTGGGGGAGGAGGGGGGGAGGTGGCTGTTCTATTTCACCAAGGGGATCTCCCTCTTATCTGTGTAAGTCAGAAGGAAACGATTCGGATCATCACACGGATGATGCCCCATGTGATGCCTCAGTCGAGCACCAACCCGTGTCTTTCATCAGCTGCCCGCAGGCAGAGGGGAGCGGGTTTATTCTTCGGGAGGGACAATTTCAAAGGCATTTTATAATCGATTTGTTTAATAAGTCATTTTCTAAAGACAGGAGTGTATTTATCTATATAGTTATTTATTTACTATTAACGAGCCAGCTTGATGATGGCGTGTGAAAGCCCTTTAGGAAAGGAAGAAAGGGCTTCCGATTTGACTAGAAATCAATACCGGTCAATAGAATTAGTGCACGCATCAAGCCTAAGTATTGCCCAGAAACGAGGCGTACGCCGAGGTAATAAAGTGGCCGATTTGGTGAGATTTTTGTCTCAGCGCTTCACTCCACACGAGACCTTGTGGCCAAGAGGGAGGCGTTGCGGTAATAGATTTTATAATACCTCATTTCCAGACTTCAGAAAGAGTTAAAACAAGCTAAACATCAGAGCTTCTGAGGGATCAGATTTAGTTACGGACCCTTCCGTTCATATCCTTCTTTCCAGTCTTTCGGACTGTTCGCGGAGCTCTTTGGGCTGATAGCGAAGCCCAGCTGTACGCTCGGAACGCGCTCCAAGAGGTGTTTCCCCTGAGCATCCTCTGGCCAACCCCGATGGGGTGTGTGTGTGTGTGTGGAGGGGGGGGGGGGGAGGGAACGACACATTCCAGGGCCGGAGAGGGCTCTGCTCGGCGCTCCGAGACCGGCTCCTGTTGCACGGTGAAGGTGGATGCGGTGAAGCAAAGTTGCGCTATATTCGGTTCTGGAAATAGGCAGTGAGCGCAATCACGCGTTATAATTGTCCTCTGTGTCACCCGACAATGGTTCCTATTTATCGCACTGGTGTCATCCACTCGTTAAGACAGTGAGTGCACAATGAACCGCGATTATTGCATAATATCGGCGTCTCCTTTCTCACTCGCCGAGGGTTGTTCTCTCCCTCTCCCTGCGCAGGTATTTTACCTGCGATCAGATATTTATCTTCTGTTTGGTAAGAGACAAGGGGTAGCTGGGTAAGATCAGATGTCTCTCCGCTCAGAACGCTTAACCGCTTTGCCCTTAAGGACTGAAAACGATTTTTAATTTTTTTTTCCTGAGGTAATAAACACACGGGGAAAGGTTCGGGGGAGAAAAACTCTGTTTGAGAGGTTATATTTACATGCGGAAATCCCGCGATCAAAAGAAGATCGGATGGAGGTTCTGTTTTTAGCAGCGACTCGAGGTCAAGAAGAGGAGAACTGCGGGGATGCGGGCTGTG